GGCTTTAATCAGTGTTCTTGTGAGAATTCCATACCAATAACAGCCCATTAAATTCAACCAGTGGTTATATCCTCCACCATGCTCCCCTTCTCACAATGAACTCGCCAGAGCCGGTGTGACTTTGTACATTCATATACAGGTCAATACATGTTTTCTTGGTATACTTCTCCTTCTGATGGGTTACTCAACCAAGCAATTAGGAGCTATCCCTTGATGTCACGCACCATTATCAGCCTCTTAATATTCACAAAACAAAAAGTTCCCTTTCTGCTTGGAACAGAAAATAATATAAAACATTTGTAGAGCCAAAGGAAATCTCACCACTCCAATTCCTTAGCCACCATCAGGACTCCCCAGGTGCTGGTCTAATAGGTGCGTCTCCACCTTGGAATGTAGTAGTATATGAACAGACAGCACTATCCAGAGAATTCCAATACTTCAGACGTTATTAAAATTCATGGCAAATCCAGTATAACAGTGAATAAAAGTGTATAAAGCAACAACACTTCTATGAATAAGCCTGCGGGTGAAACATGTGAGAGGTTGTAACTGGTTGGGTGTGTGCAATGCTGGCATGTGTTGCTTTATACACTTTTTTTCACTGTTATACTGGATTTGCTGTGAATTTTAATAAAGTCTGAAGTATTGGAATTCTCTGGATAGTGCGGTCTGTTCGTATACTAATATAAAACATTGATGAATTCAATGGTGTGCAAATATTTGAATGCTTTGGAGAGGGAATCATCTATAAAATGCTACCAATCTAACTGAGTGAAAATTTGCACCAGCCCTAAATTACTTTAGTTCACTGCACAATTTTAGCTTCGGTACACTGAAGAATACCTTTTCTTAGCCTTTTTATGCTAGAGGAACTTTTGAAATAATTTTCAGGTCTAGGGGAACCCCTGATAAAAAAAAAAACAATTTATCAGGGGTCAGTTGTCAAATTGTCCCCCTTACAGTGGTGGTCGGAATGCCATTCTTACAAACAGCTAAAAAATATAATTACTGTCATGCTGCTGGCTCTGCCAAGTGGCATTGGCCCCAGAACTACGCAGGTACCATCATATGGTCAATTAGCTACAGCTCAAAGAACCCCTAGCAACAACTAGTGGAACCCTAGGGTTCCGCAGATCCCTGCTTGAGAATGGCTGCTTTAGAAGCACAGTACCTTGTGCAGATATTTCGAGGCTGGCAAATATTGAAAATAAATTCTGGCAAGCAGTGATTCGTCATAGTGCATGGTTAGGCTATAGGTATGTTGCGTCAGTCCACACAAAAATCAGCTTCTAGTCTGCATTGCTACTAACACAATTCTTTTTTTACGTTATTCCCATCATGCTCACCCTATGATTAACTTTGGTTATTGTTATCTTATATACTGTAGGTTGTACAGGAAATGTGTTTAATGAATAGGCCATAATGCTGTTGTCTAGAAATAGTCTACTACTTCATTGTATGCTGGAGCCAAAACATCAGAGTAATTGTATACAATCATATACTATGGCTTCGTTAGGGACATGGTGCTACGTGGCTTCCATTAATAATGTTAGGTACAGCTCAGTATGAATAAAACAGTACATGGTATTGAATTGTGAAGAGAAATCACATTCCTTCATCTCAAGTTTAATGGACGCCTCTCACTTCCATTAACTTGAAAAAAAAAAGTTTCTAATGGATGTACCTCAAAATGGTTTAAATATATACAGCCTTGGAGACAGGCTTGTTTCTTAGACACAGCACATATAAAATTAGATAGAGATAGATAGATAGATAGATAGATAGATAGATAGATAGATAGATAGATAGATAGACAGGGGTGTCCCTGGCCCTTTTGCAGCCTGAGGTGGGGGGGTGAGGTTTGTTCTGCTGGTGCATGCTATGGGTGGGGGTGGGGGGTTGGCTCAGATCATCTCAATGCCCAGCTCTGGTTTCCGGCTTTGGTCGGCATCCCACCCCCAACTTGCTGATGTCACTGGTTGCCAGGAGCTGGGCATGATGCCGTCTAGAGCAGTGCTTCTTAAAGTGTGGGTCGCAACCCCATATGGGGTCCCGCAAGTGAACGGGGGGGTTGCGATCTGAATCCCCGGCCAGGAACGCTATCAGGGGGGTATGGCCGGTACCTTGTGTGAGGGGCCCAGGCTGTCGGGGAGGCCTGGGCTCCAAGCAAGATTTTAAAATTTTTGTTTAATGTGCAGTGTAGTGTAGTCGTTAAGGTCATGGGTCCCCCCTGTGCACTTGGTACCTTCCTGAGCATGTGCGCGCAGGAAGGTTTTTGTTTTTTCCCCCCATAACGGAGCTTTCTTTAACCCAGCAGAAGTGGAGCACAGCTGCTGGAGGTAAAGGTAAGGAGGGAGAGGGGGGTTAGTAGTAGAAGAGAGAAACTGACCGACGCTGGGGGGAGGAGAGGAGGAGAGAGACACCGACCAACGCTAGGGGGGGTAAGAGGAGAGAGACACTGACGCTAGGGGGAGACACCGACGCTAGGGGGAGACACTGATCGACGCTGGGGGGAAAGAGAGGAGAGACGCCACCTGACGCTGGGGTCACGTAAAGTGTCCTTGCCCAAAAAAGGGACACGAGTGGAGAAAGTTTAAGAAGGTCTGATCTAAAGCATCCCAGGCTGCGGATAGGTGGACGGGGGGATGCCCTTAAGCATCTCTCGGCCCAACCATTAGCAGCCTGGGATAGTCTGACCAGAAAGAGTGTGGCAGGCATAGTTTAAACCTTGTGCAGCAGAGCACCCATGCCTCTTTGCATTCCGCCCCCTCAAGCAAACAAATAAGATGCCTCAACCTGCCTTGTTTTACGGACGGCCCAGCAAATAGGGATAGATAGATAGATAGATAGATAGATAGATAGATAGATAGATAGATAGATAGATAGATAGATGTGTCTACGTGTGCACACTTTTTGTACTATAAAAGGGACATTTTATTTTTCATTGTTTGAAAATTTAAAGGTATATTTGCTGCATTTGAGTGGGGCAGTTTAATTGCTTGAACCTTGATGAATCTAGCCCAACAAATGGCAGCAATTTTGAACACTTTGTTTATATTGGGTTAAAGGGGCTGCCACCACACAGTCACATGGTATTGTTTTACTCTGTGGTGCATTAGTTGAGTGACACAACTGGGAGAGTGTGGTGGCAGCCCATTCATTCCTTATGGGCCCTGTGTGTGTTGCAAAGTAGCCACCGCTCCAAGCTCACTCCAGTGATGGATTACAATCTCATGTTTAGTTTACTAATTTTATACTGAGATTGTAATCCATCACAGGAGCGAGCTTGGAGCGGTGGCTACTTTACAACACACAGAGAGACCATGAGGAACAAAAGTAAACACCCTCCAGAAGGAAGGACAGTGTCAGCATCAATTCAGAGATGATTTGAGGATCTACAGCTGAGTGATACACAAATAAGATACATTTTTGTTAATTGTTAGGGACTTGACGCACTTTTAAGATTGAACACCTGAGTTTGGTGTCACTTTAATGCAAATGCAATAGCAATACTGCAGACACTATAATAATACCCAGTGTGACTCATAGCCTGACGGCCAAGGGCCGTTTCAGAACTCTTCCTTGACAAGTGGAGAATGGCCATTCAAATGCTGGAGTACTTCATTTAGTAGTTTTAGAATATGCTGGACAGTTTTTTGGAAGTCTGTGCTATTTTATTCTTCTGGATGGACTGTGATATATGTACCTCAGTCACATCTTCCATATGTGGATTAATGGAACTGCTGATTACAACAGCAGAATTGTTCAAACTACAGAACAGTGCCAAACACTTGCATCATCTGATGCTTTGTACTGTGCCATTTATTGGAGTCCATATCGTTGAAAGAGAACCAAGAAATTCTTGAAATTCTGAAAACTAGAGTTACCATTTAACCCTTTAAAATGTGGCACATATGAAATACAAAGGGTCTAGGGCTGAACATAGTTTAACTCTTTCATCAGCCACAGACCCTGTGTTATTAATATTTGTCAGAGTGGCTCGGGACAGTGTCTCTGTGTACTAAACTAAAATTTATAGACCCTAAATAACCAATGGACAGTGGATAACTCAATGCAATGTCTGCAGGAGGTGAGGCCCTTGGACTTTATGATGGAGCGCTCGACCTTCCATGGAAAGTATTTGTAAAGGTGTCTTTGCAAAGTGAAGGGGTACAGTGGTCCTCTTTAAGAAAGCCCTGTCTAAGGCAGTAGTGTCCCCTCAAACAGGTGTAGGTGCAGTTTGAGACGCAAAATGGAGTCCAAAGGTCACTCACCATTTCATTGTCACAGGAATATCCTCCTAGACCTGGACTGACCTCAAATGGCTGCTCCTACAAGCAGGATGAAAGTACATGAGAAGTAGGCCACACTATACCGGCTGGATGAGGTGCGGGCTGCTCTATCTCTGGCTGCTGCTGTCTCTCCCCAGAGAATGGCAACCACAGAATATGTTGGGGTGCCATTAAGAACAATTTGCACCACAGCTCACCAATGTACCATTTTGTGCATTGTGGCAATGTGCGCACTAACACATGCATTACCACAGCACAGAGTGAACCCAGCCAAAATTTGCCCTCTTCACTCACTGAAAACCTCTCCTCTGACCTTCACAACTCAATGAGATGCTGCCTTTGCTTAGGGTTCTGTTAACTTTGCAGTAAACAGCTCCCCCAACTTCTATGAGGTACTGTGCAATCCCATCCAAGAAGGGCAAAAGCTTGAAATACTGGAATATAGATCAGCAATTCTAGCATTGTCTTGATAATCACTGGGTGCTGGATTCTCATAGGAAACTACAAAGATCCATAGAAATTGTTAACTGACCCAAACCCTTACTGCCATTAGATAAAATGGTACAGAAGCAAAAAGGGCTGATCACCTCACTGGGCCACCAGACTAATATTAATAAAGCAAAATAAATGTGTAAGCCTATAATGTCATGACTATTTTTTTTTAGCAGTGGCTGTAATTGTTTTATTGACCCTGTTTCATTTCCCTAGGTACCAGATATTGGTCTTCTGCCTTATCTACATACTGCCTCTGTTGGTAATAGGGTGTGCTTACACTTTCATTGGTATGACCTTGTGGGCCAGTGAAATCCCGGGAGATTCCTCAGACCGCTACCATGAGCAGGTGGTAGCCAAACGTAAGGTGAGTAATATCCTCAGCTGGTAAGACTAAACACTTCTTTACAGTAGCGGTTATATAATTGGGCAGTGCTGGAAAAGTCTGGAGGAAAATTTGTTGTCTAGTGTATCCAGATTTCACATTCCATTTTCCAAAACTGAACTCCATGCAGATATAAAAGACACAAATATACATAAAATATGTAGATTGGTAAAGTATGGCTCAATTTGAACAAATACATATGCCTATCAGTATCCACATCCAGTTAACACATTATTCAGCATATATATATATATATATAGTTGATTTGTTCACACCAAGCTGCTTGCATATTGCAGGTTCAGTCTTCCCAGCCTGGTGCAGGTCTACAATTTTGTTTCTGGTGTCCTTTGACATCTCTTTGTTCTTCACCATAGTGGAGTTTGGAGTGTAACTGTTTGAGGTTGTGGACAGGTGTCTTTTATACTGATAACAAGTTCAAACAGGTGCCATTGATACAGGTAATGAGTGCAGGACAGAGGAGCCTCTTAAAGAAGAAGGTACAGGTCTGTGAGAGCCAGAACAAAATACTTATTTTCCACCATAATTTGCAAATAAATTAGTTTCAAATCAGCCAATGTGATTTGTCTGGATTTGTTTTCTCATTTTGTCTCTCATAGTTGAGGTCTACCTATGATGCCAATTACAGGCCTCTCCTCTTTTTAAGTGGGAGAACTTGCACAATTTGTGGCTGACTAAATACTTTTGTGCCCCACTGTATATATACACACTCCCTTAGTTATATAGGGAGTTGGTATATGAGTAAAAGTAAAGATATGATATAACTAAGGTTACATAGGAAGTTGGTATATGAGCAAAGTTAAAGATATGGTTTATATGAGGTTATATAGGGAGTTGGTATATGAGTAAAATGTAAAGATATGATACGACAGTCACCTTCTTAATTAATCATTAAACCTCTCATATGATGTTTTGTAAGGAAGAACAATCTGTATATTAATCTGTTTGCCTTCAATCTTTCATCTTAAAGCCTACATGCAGGAAAATAATACTCCCCTTGCAGTTTGGCTTCCCCCACCCTATTAGGGTGCTGCATGTTTATGTCTAGGGTACCAGTGTAAGGAACTTTTGTTTATCTTATACCCACTAGCGGCAGTCTTCAGGACTGGCTCTTCCACATATGCTCCAGCGGTCAGAGGCCCAGCAACGTTATCATGTAAAATGCAGGGCCCCATAGACCTTAATTATACTTGAGGGCGCCATGGGACAGTCCACCATCAGGAGCATAGGGGAGATGAGGGGACCGCAGACTCACAGATGAGCGGGGATCAAGTAAGTAAAAGCCCTTTACATGAATATCTTAGACATAAACCAGCAGTTAACGCTTGCAGTGCCAGGGTAGCCCCACTGCCTGGTGAGTTTCTTTTCATGGAGATAGGCTTTAAACAACAAATGTGATTGGTTGTTGTGGATAACTGCCCCACGTATGCTCCATTTTCTGTGACCATCTTTTGTAAATAGTCCACTAGATGAATTACAAATTGTTACAGTAAAGATACTTCAGCTGTCTACCTATACAGCCTATGGCTTTTGCCACACATTTTGCCATAATCTATACAGGTAAACTGGCATTCTGCATGCTCACATTATTTACAAGGGCCTTGTCTACCCATACCAAGATTTAACCGGCATACAGCACAGACTTCCAAATTGCCCTTAATGGTCATCTAAAGTTTATGGTAAAAACTCTTGAAATGTTATTTCATATGCTGAAAAAATGTAGACGGATAACTAATGTATGGATTGTGTTACAGTAAACCTTTAAATACTTAAACAGTTAAATCTTAACTGTATAATTTTTAATTGTGCATAACAGAAGCCCTTTACCGTGACATCTGGGTAATTGTCCCATTTCATGTCTTGCAGGTGGTGAAGATGATGATCGTGGTAGTTTGCACGTTTGCAATTTGCTGGCTGCCATTTCATATTTTCTTCTTGCTACAGACAATTGAAATGAACCATGACCAAAAGATCTACCAGCAACTTTATTTGGCCATTATGTGGCTCGCCATGAGCTCCACCATGTACAACCCCATCATTTACTGTTGTCTGAATGACAGGTGAGTGCAGCAAGCCCATGTTCCACAGTGCCTCACCAGTGAAAGCCCTGTCATCCATTGCACTGCAACAACAGTGAGTGAGGCAGCAGTATGGCCGGTGGCCACCCTCTAGCCAGCAGCAATTTCCAAAGTCACATTTTGAAAAACATTTATGCTTTAAAAAAGAAGCAATTGTTATAGGCATGGAACGTGCAACATAACAGTCTGTTTCCCACTGCACTCCAGACGGGAAACGCAAAGCAGTAAGATGAGTACTGGTAGGACCTGCGGATGGCGACGCGTGAATCAAAGTATCAAAGTAGTCACCGCACACCAAGATCCAATGTTTAAAATGCCTTTATTCAGACGATAACCATACATGGTATCACTAGTAGACAGCAACATTTTAGACCCATTAAAGGAACCATTAAAAGTCCCTTCATCAGGCAAACATAGTCACTATGTTTGCCTGATGAAGGGACCTTTAATAGTGATACCATGTATGTTTAATGTTGGAATGAAGGCGTTTTACACATTGGACCTCGGTGTGCTGTTGACTACTTTGATGCTTCAGTGCAGAGGAGACATTACCCCTTTAAAATAAGGAAAGTCAATAGATGAGAAAAAGTTCAAAAAGTTTTTATATAAAGAAGATGTGAACAGATTCTGGCTTCAGTCTTTATAATGTTTTTTTTTTTTTTATATAAGGTCCACCAACAATCCCCACGCTAAAAATG